GATGATAAGTCTCACCTCTCAGCCTTTCCTCCCTGCGCAGTGTGCTACCTTCAACTCGATGGGGTAAGGGTCGCTGCCCAACGTGTCCCACTATGGATTCCACTCGAGGGTCAGGTCCCCCGTGGTCCACGTGAAGTACGGTGTGGTATCCTTCGGTCGCTGCTGCTCAGCAAGCCTCGTCTTCACTCCAGTTTCATTTTGAAGCTCCAGACCTTCACTTGTCATGGCTCGCAGCAGTTCCCTGCCCTTTTTTGTATTTGCTGCGTGCCCCATTTTTTGTGGGGCATTGAAGTCCCCGGCCACAATCAGTGGGTCTCCCGGCTAATTCAACTAGGCCGCGGATCCAGCTTGCCGTCTCTCCGTCCTTTAATTTGGCTCTGGGTCTGATGTATATAGAGGCGAGTACTAGCTTAAGCCCGCCATGTTTGACTTTCGCTGCGATGACCTCCCTGTCTCTAGAAAATAGAACGGAAGTGTCAAGCTGCGCCTGTGGTGGATGCCAAAGAACTCCGATAGCCCCCCCATTCCTTCCGAGTCACCGGGTTCCTCTCCCATGGGCTTGGGACGGTCTCGATGATAGGTGTTAAATAAAAGTTATAGCACGGTAGGGTCACGTTCGGGCTTCTCGTTTCTCGTCTTTGTTCGTCCGGACGTCATTCTTCTAACGTCGTTCATGTCTGAGTTCCGCTATCTCTTTCTTAATTTTGCCTAGTGTCTGGAAGATCATCTTGAAGCCAAGTGACATCTCCTCTCGAAGTTTGTTGTGTTCAGTTTCTGCGTCGAAGGGTGATTTGAGCGGTCGCTCTGCCAGCACCTGAGTTGCCTTCGGTTAGGCCCATTTGGGCATCCAGGCCAGACACTTGCCGTGCTCTTCGTGAATCATTCCTTGCGTTGATTCCTGACTGGCTTCGACCCTGAACTGTTCTGCAGGTGGTCTTCGATTGTCCGTTGCTGCCGCGGCATTGCTCTCTCTTTGTTGGCAAGAGAAAGGAGGCTGCCTGTCCTAACTATCTGAACGCATTAAAATATGTGAAATTAGCCTCGGAAATCCCCGGTGTGCTAATTGCGCACTGGCACTTTTATATTTTGCAACGCGTCGGTTATTTTTGTTGTGAATGTGTCTCGCCATTAGCTCAGGACAATTTGCGCATTTCGTTCTGACCATATTTGCTGAAGAAGTGAGCTCGGAGAAAAGCAACTGGCCCCCTAGCACGAGAACTGGCTCAACCGTGCGCGTTCCAAAGAAAGCTCGTGCAGATAAAAACAAGCAAAGGACAAGGGACGTCAAATTCAGGATATAGACAATTGCAAGCATGGCGCCACAAGTGGTGCCCCATGCGTGCAAGCGCGTGCAACGCGCGGGTGAACGTAGCTTCGGCAAGCTCGTAACGCACGGGCGTGCCTGCTCGAGCAGAGACATTGCGGCGGTCAGTCGCCCAGCTTGCGATCGTCTATAGAAAAATACCTTATTGCATCAAAGCACCACCACACACGATTTCTAGCATTGATTTACAGGCCTGGAAGGCGATCCCACCGCCATCTGTTGGTTCAGAATCACACTAACCAAAAGTGGGGTTGCACCTTAAAGCCTCGGTCACACTGCTCGTACATCATACAAAAAGGCGGTCTGCAAACACGAGTCGGCGAAATATCCGTAGTTCTAATGCCGCGTGCCAAATTACTCCTCGAACTCATTGCCCCGCGGCATTTGAAGCCCGGATCTCGCGATGGCTCGCGTCCAAAACTGTATTGAGATTGTCTTTTGCATGATGTATAAGGAGTGTAACACCGGCCTAAAGGTACTTTAAAAAGAGCGACTATGTCAATTCGAAAACATCCACATTCCGTATCTATGACCACTTACCCAATTTGTTGCCTTGATGATCATTCCGTTCTAGTGAATACTTTTGAACGCGGGCACTGCATTTAGAATCATTTTCATATTTGTGCGACTACACTTCTCACGTAAAGCTGATAAAAAATACCGTGTTAAAGTGAAAGCACCGAAAGTTAAAGTGAAGCACACCGCAGCGGGGCACCCAAAACTGGAAAGAGTGCGTGCCATATGCCACTCTCCGCTAACTTTAACAAAAAAAGGGTAAAAGGAAAAAAAAAATTAAAAACACACCGGGTCGGAAAAAAGAAATAGAGAGACCGGATCTACTCGTCGCCTTTGTGCTCCTTTGTCTTTCAATCAGGGGTCGGTGTGGCGTGTGACACTTATGAGCATTTGTGTCCGGAGGCAGACAAAAACCCAAACTTCCGCCGTAAGCACGCGACCATTTGTGGTTCTGTTTCACGCGTTACAGATTTCCTTTTGTGCAGACGTCCTGCTTTCCAATAGCGCAGATGGAAACAAAAAGACAGTCGCTTTGACAGTTAGACAAAGAGCTGCCGAGTTACCTCTGCCGACTGCGCAGCCTGCGCTCGTGTTGCGCTTGTTTATTGAAGCACTGCTTCAAGCATATATATGTGTTTAATATAAATTTTATTTTCAAAGTATGTTAAGATAGCCTTAATGTACAATATAAAATCAGAATTGACTCGGCGATTATATTTATACCCGAATACAGAAAGTTTGGGGTATTCATATGCACAACAAGGATAGAGAACGGCGTACATATTGTGTGACGAGCGAAGATAATTTTCCCCCTTTGCAGAAAGGTTAGACATAAACACAATATTTTAAGCATTGGATTTATGCACTGAAAACGTACTCTCCTGCGCACTATAGCTTGATTACTGCACTTTTATTTACAAACAATATAAGCAAGGAATGTATGCGATCGCTTTTAGGCAGTGTTGTACACGTTCATCAAAAAAAGTAACGAAAGCTCGTTCCTCGTTCCTTCCGATGTTTGGAACGCGTTCCCTTACAAGTTCCATGTGTGAAAAAGGAACTCGTTCCTGTTACAGTTAAAGAAATGGAACGTATCGTTACATACACGTTACATTTGTATTTTGACGATTAACATATACATTTAGATAAAACAAAGTGGTTTTTGTTGTTTTTTATCTATCCCATCAAATGCACCAAGAGAAGAAGACAATCGGAAGCAGTGTTTCATTTGTTGATATATTCACCATTAAAAATCTCATCTTTTAACCATATTTTATGGTGGGCGATTCATGCGAGCCCAATGTACTGTTACTCCACAATGCACCAACGTTTCACAACAACCTCACGCGTTTCAATCTAACAAAGTCACCTCTTCGAACGTAGCAACAGTTGCTTCTCGATGTAGCTGACCGCAAGACGAGCAAGTGAAGAAGGTAAGGCTGTTGGAAGGTCAGTCTTGAAAACTGCAAGTCCTTGTTCATGACGGTTGATTCGTTGTTCAGTTGGAAGATAGGGAACGGAAGATAGGGAACAAGGGGAGAAGAAATAAAAGTTATTTTTGTGTATATTTTATGTCACAAATATTCGGGATACAAGGATGCGTTCGATATCGGGTAACCTCCTCTTTTGTTGTTACTGTACGTCTATTTGTGGAAGTTCAGTGATGGCTGCAGTCGGTCTTAGATTTCTGGGTGTACGAGGATTCGTGGAAGCAAAGAAAGTAGCTGAGTTTGAAACATCTCTCTTTCTGTGTATTTCCTTCGAGTAAAGGCTTGGCTTTCTTTACCGCAGTCTCGGGCACTGAAAAAAGAATCGATGTCCTCTAGCCCTCCTGCACCCGACTGTCACCAAGGGAGTATCACACAAAATTAACCATATGGTATATAACCAAAAAATTAACGAAATCCTGCTTTTTGTAGAGATGGATATTGTTTTTATACTTTTAGAATTTCTGTTTCAGAAATAAAATACAAATTACTCCACTGGACGAAAAAAAAAGGAACGCCGTTCCTTTTTCCGTTCCAGTAAAAATGTAACGCGTTCCCGTTCCAGTTCCACCAATGCAAAATGGAACGGCGGCGTTCCTTCGTTCCCCTTAAAAGGAACGCGCTCCAGGAACGCCGTTCCTTTGAACGCCGTTCCGTACAACACTGCTTTTAGGTGCTAACTTCTTAGTGTTAGCACAAGGGACTTGCTATGCATGCAAGCCTAATGAAGAAATATACAAAACTTTATAACAACTGAAATTAAATTCCCAAGCACTCCATTACGTCAAACGTGGTAGGCCATAATCCAAGTCGTAAAGTTAATGATTGTATTGTGTAACTTTAGCTATAACTACATTTCGCTATGTACAGCGCAGCCAGTGTCTTTTATGAATCTGGAATAACAGAGTAACTAATACGACGATTTTTTATTCGGAAATAAAGCGACAATAAAAGAGAGAGAGTGGGCCGATGGCTTTTCATATGGAGATTGGTGTCTAATGTATATAGTTAATTGGTTGATATGGTGATGCTTCGAACGAGCCACTTTCATGGGTTTAATATGTTTATATTTGTGTGGCATTTAAAATTTCATGGCTCATTTTGGGATACCCTGTGTAGTTATATTGCTGCAGTTGTGGCTACCGCCCTTGCACCTTCGTAACAATCTTCGGGCATCCGATACTGACATATTGTGCGGATGAAACTTGTGCACTCAATCCCCCAAAACGCCACTTCATTTTTTTTTCTCTCGATTTCCTGGTTTCAGAAAGCAACACTCCGGCACTCAAAGGCTTGTCTTCAATGGTCCTTTTTTATATCTGCCCGAACTGGGATCTACACTACAAATAAATATATTAAAACGGAAGTTGTAGTCTATACCACAGCTTTCCAACTGTTCCTGCATATTTCTCAACTAGTTCTCATGTATTTTCAGTATTTCTGACAAATTGAACTAGTCTATCGTTTCAGTCGTACCAAATTCAGACAAAGTCCGAGATGGGTATGGTGCTGTAAAAAAATAGCAGCACAACCGTGTCATCCGCAGACGTCGTTAAAAGACCACAAGCATCATGAACCAAGGACTGCTGCAGGAGAAAATCTTCGGTTTCAGTCGTGTACATACACGTGGGTCAAACACCACCAATCATCGTATGTCTGGCGTTTCCTTAGACTCACAATGCATCCGGGTTGTGCGCCGTCGATAAAGCGTAGACTACTGGGCAGAAGCTTTTCATGAGAGCGTCGTACGCCGATCCTGGCTCCATATACGTGGACTTGCTCTGCGAGTTCCACAGGTGAAGCGTGTAGCTCTTGGAAACGAGCCGAAGAACGTGCGATGCGGACGATGCCTGAAAAAGTGTCCTCCATTCTGTGTAGGGCACGGGATAGAATGCCTCGTGCGGCAGCACAGTAACTCCTGAGCACACGTTGAAGTAAGGTGTATGCATCACTGGCTTCTTGGGACACAGTCTGTCTAACGTTCGTTCCAGAAGACGCGGCCCGTTGTGGGCAAATAATTGGGGCCTGCGTAAAGAAAGAAAGAAAATATAAAACATGATCTCAGGATAACAAGAATTTAGCTTCCAAAATCAGACATCAGGATATTTTCCGTGCCTTTTTCTACTCTTAAAACTTCTACGCGTCATTGCACCCAAGGATACCTCTTACCTTACACTTCTTAAAGCCCGGCCAGCGAAAACCAATTGTCCCTCGCGGAAGATTTCTCTCCTACACTTTGTTTCCCCTAATAATGTACAGGGGGAACAGTGCACCCGCAAAACAGTCACTCAAGTCAACACACACACAAAAGAAAGATACACTTATGAAGCGCTGCGTAAGTGTCTCTTTCTTTTGCGCCCAAGAAATGTCGTGCATCTCAGAGAAAAACGCCACTCCAATTAGTGACTCCCGCATAATTATCAAGGAACAATCTAAAACCTGATGGAGAACAACCACAACACGGTTGGAATCGTTCTTTGAAACCATTGACAATAAATTAAAATATGTATTGTATATTACAAAAAAACGATAAATAAAAGATATCAAGTTTATGATAAGTTGTCGAAGCATTTCTGCTGTTTTAGGTGCTTTTCGGGTGTTCCCTTTGCTTTTTACGAGTTCAGTCAGAAAAATGGACATCCCTCTCACCCCTGATGAGTAGACTAGATATATACTGAATAAGTCCGGAACAACTGAGTGAATATAATGGTAGAGATGGAGATCGAATGTGCAAGTTTGGGGACTAGGCTATATTAAAATGAAAATATACGTGACTTTTTTTTTTTTTTAAGAAACGGGTTGCGAGAAAGAAAGGAAACAATATTGAATTTCCAATTCACAAACCTTTTTCACTGAAATAATGCCTCATTGCCAGAAATGTCGTTGCTTGGATCCCACGAAATTTTCCTTTTTATTATTCTTTGATCCAGTTAACGTTATGCTCCCATACTTATTGTATTCGAAGAATGGAGAAAAGTAAAGCTTCATTAATTATGTTTTCTTTGTATAACCTTTTCATCTGGTACTGTTGAATTTCAAGTCTGCACAACAAAATCTCTAACATTTATAGATTCAAATAAATTTATTTATAGATTGTGACAGCATCTTTATTTCGAATTCGTATTTTATACCCACAGGTGAATATATTCCGAGCCACTGATATTAAACTCTGCTAAAGTAGAACCGCGCACAAAGTGGAAACATATCCCGGCATACCAGCCTAAGTGCTCTCGTCAACAGCTAGCTTCCGATTCTCAGTAATTCGCTATAGCTGGTTGTCAGGAGAAAAAAAAGTAATTATGATCCCCATCAGAGTGCTCATTTTCACCTGCCGGTAGTCAAGACTATGAAAAGGAATATCTGTCAATTAAACAATAAAGAAAACACAAGCGCGAAAGAAACTTGCGACTACCCTGGTGCTAAATGGGTTTTCAGGGAATGTTTTCTTTAGCTTCAAGACAAACAAAACGTACTCAATATATTGAATAGTATATTTGATTTCTCTATACTGTATAAGTCAATAATTCTTATGTTTTACAGTTACTTCAACCTGCCTGATTGTAAAGACAGCGTGACAATAAGGCATAGAAGGTTCCAGTCATAAACCAGATATCCAACCTCCAGTTGGTGGTCATCATCCATGGGCTGTCTGGAGCTTCAAACCCTGTCAGCCAGCGATATGTTCAAACTACTCAGCCCCCAGTGCACAAATTTGGTGAACTTAGGCGGTCCACTGTGTGATAGGAGTAAAACCAAGAAACCTTCACCTTATTCGTGGAGAGGCAAACTACTCGCGAGCAAAGCAAACAAATTAACAACCACTTTGTAATAAAACAATATCCACCATTGGTATACTCTCATTTATTTTAGACGTGACAGACGACAGTCCGACTGTCTGGTGCCATCGCTACTCCTACACTACAGCCGTCTGTCAAAGTGCATGCACTCTTGGTAACTTCGTCAAGTGGCAAAAGGTGCCAGGCCAAGAAGCTCGGACCACTGCAGACGTCTGGGAACTGACATTTCAGAGGAAGGGGAAGGGGGGGGGGGGGGGGGGGGAGGGGGGGTCGCAGGCTTCGGAGAATATGACACACCAGCAGGCAAGATATTTTGCACGACACGCGTTCAAGACTTGGTGCGGATTCCACCAATGGGCATCACTGACATAACCTGCAAAATTAATTAAAACGCTCTCATCAAACAATGCTGCGTTGCTAGTTCAAGCTGAAACCCTGACCAGGGATCATAACTTTCACGAATGGTTTTCATGCTACATTCACTGTCTGACAACATGGCGCCATCTAGAACTTCTACCAGCCATATATTCCGAATTTTGCTGGCGTTCTGCAAGCATTGGGAACACGAAGAGTAAAATAGATGTAGAGCCCTGTCGCAGCCCTAATATTGGGGAATATCAAGCAAGCGTGCGCCGCTATTGTACGATTTAGCGAGACTTCATTGCAAGGAAGTGAGCTTAAAACGACCTATTCCACAGGAGCCCATTTTCCGGATTGAAAATTAGAAGGTACAGTGAAAGCACCACCGGTGGGACGTCATAAATACATTCGGACACATCCCAGACGTGGAGGTTGACTCATTCTTTATGCACAGCTGTGCAGAAGTCGTTTTCGCTCTCAGATGCGCACATGTCCAGCAAACATGCGTGTTATTACTTTTATTAAGATGAGTACAGGAAAACAACAGAACAAGTTGGACAACGTAATTTTAATTTTCTCTCTGCACGCGGCTAACTCACTTATAAAGAAAGCACTAACGACGAAGAAGAATTACACATACCGTGGTCGTAACGCTTTATTGCCGGCAGCTCTTTTGCAGAAGTGGCAGATGTTAGCACGAGTGTGAACGTGAATGCAGGGTTCACGGGGATCTCGATATGTCCCAACGCCAACACAGCGTGTTAAGTTTGTAAAAATCCTGCTTATTAGTTAAGGTGATTTTTGTTAGGAAAGCTTATCTTTCCAGAGTTGCGTCGGCATTGTTTTTTTTTTAGCTTTCTATATTTGTGTCGGCGGGGCCAGAGCGGCCGCGACGCGGGAGCGGTTCCCCCCGCGGTCGTTAAGAAGCCTCTCGGGTTTCGGAAGCCCGCTCGGACCGGGAGCGGGACAGCCCGCGCTTGGAGAGGCTTGTAGCTTTTAGCCGAATGTGTCTGTACATAGAGGTTTTTGCCGCTTACTATAAAATGGTCGCTTTTTACCCGTTGTAATAATTTAGCTGTTGGCGCCAGCCCGTCTGCGTAAAATGCAGGGGTGGATTCTAGAAAGAATTTGGATTTGACCGTTGGAAGTGCTAGGCTGACAGCTTGTCGACCATTGGAGAACAGTGTACCACGTGGGAGTGGTGAAATTTGAAGGGATTGGTTGGACCCTGAGGGGAAAGGAGGCCCCTACGAGGCTACAAAAGGATCCCCGAGAGGGAATCTAGGGACTGGCTTCGATTCGATTTTGGGAGACTGGGAACAAAAGTACGGGGTTTAATTTTGGGATTTTAACTCACTGTTGAGTTGATTTGTGTCATAATAAACGTGGCCACACTGGCCACCGTAAAGTCAACCAACGTCGCAATGTGTTCAGCGGGATCGAACAACTTTTAGTTCTTTTTTTTATTATCAACTTCCCGGGGGGCTGCCATCGGGCGAGCACCGTCATCGGTCGTCACCATCCGGACCAGGACGCGCCCATCCCCATACCACCAGTTCCAGGCCCTCCCTCGGAAAGTTGACTCAGCGCATGTGCGCACTACCTAGAGGAACGCAACGCTGGGTGTTTCGTCGGTAACTCACGATCGACGCGGTAACAACACGACACTAGGGAATTGTAGTAGACCGTTTCAGCAGCCCGCTAAGCACCCGGATAGCGCTCCGTAATCCGCCACAAGACCTTGAAATATGCAGACAAGGCTGGCAGCGCGCATGCGCAGCTGCGCCGTTTTCTTCGGGGATACCGTAGCGGAGGAGAAAAACGATCTACTACAATTCCCTACTAACACAGCTGTGTTCGCAAAACGGTAAGTGGCAAAACGAGCACGGCTTCGCAAGACAACAAACTTTGCCTTCGCGGCCTCCCCACCACGCTCTGGACGACGCGGTAGCAAAATCCTTTTTGAATCGTCTTTTTGCCAGCGGCCGATACTCGTACAATATTCCTCATTCATGTCACATAGATACTAATGAACATAGCCGAGACTTCTTCCCGGTACAAAAAGGCACCTATTAGTAAAATTAGACAAGGCCAATCGGTTTCACGCCGAAAGAGACCACAGACGGACTCGTCCCGTTTTCAGACGAAACAGTAAGGAAACGAAACATCAATGTTTTGTCAGTTCAGGCGGTGGCGGCGCGCTTGGTTTACCCGTCTCTGCCCCGATTTTCAAAGGGAAATTTTCTCATTTGAGCATCTATCCGATAATACGCAAAATCGTCATTCCGTTTATTTTTAGGAGAGACCAAACATTTATCCGACATAGCCTTTTAGGTGCACCTACAACTTCCTACTCTCTATATTACCACGCTTGCGTAGCTTCCAATAGCGAGCCAAAATATTTCACGAAACCAAACGTTTTACAAATATAGCACTCAATAAACTATATACATAGTCCACAGTGTTCTACGTTTTTGTAAATTATATATATATATACTATGGGCATCGGTGGTTACAGGATAAACGCACAGAGATCAACTTACGTGTAAGCACGGGCGAATTCCACTAGGCAAGACGCAAGGAAAGGATGTTCCTTCTGAAACCTCATTACTCCATTGCCGACCATCGGAAACAGCTCCCGGCAGAGACTGCTGGTGAGACCAGCCATGTCTTTGAGCACCATGACATCCAGGTCTGCATAGGCGCCTCCGTACTTCCAGAGGATAAGGAGCCGAAGCGCGTCGCTGAAGTGTTCCGTCTGGAAAGGGCTTGCCGTCCAGAAACTGCTTGTGTACCAGAAGTCCAGAGGCGTGCCGTTTACTACGCTCCCCACGTCGATTTTGAGGTACTTGAAGTTGGGGAGCGTTCTCAGGTGGTCCATATAACTGAGTGTGGTCGAGTTGTGTGCTATAGTTAGATCTCAAATAATATCTACCCACAAATATTGGTTTAGACAAAGATACTAGTGAACTAGACTGAGCGTTTCATGCGGAGACCACATAATATACACACGGGCCAAGCGTGAGCAGAATATTTCATAGCCCACACCCATGTACGAAACACATTTAGGTGATAATACTTCGTTCGAAGAAACGTCAAGATAATGTTTGGCGAAAGCATGCCCCTACCAGATGGATGAATGAGTATATCAAGGCGTAATGCTGACCAGGACACACTTGAATAGGGGGAGACCTGTCTGTCGCGCGCCTTTCCTATGGGAGAGCTACTGGAGCTATAGTTGACGTTGCGACTACAAGGCGGTGCGCAAAGCCCCCCCCCCCCCCCCCCCCCCCCAGAGCCGTATATTGGGAGAGTTTGGCCAGTGGGTGTGGCTACGAAGGCGCCGGAGAGGAGAAAACTAAATGAAAGGGAGGAGAGCGCCGAAGGAGCGAGAGAGAAAGATGGGAGCAGAGAAGGGACGACCGCCATTTTTGAGCAACGCTGTCTGGGACTGGTAGGAGCAGAGCACTCCTGAGGCTACGCGTCGTCTGCTACTGGCCGACTTCTTTTTCGCCTGAATAAAAGTTTGTGGCCATACGCCGAAAAATCTTAATTTATTAGCTTTTTAACCCACCGAGGAAGAAAAGAATGTCATTTTCTTGCCAGAGCCAGCGATATAAAAGGCAATAATCGAGATTTAGGTGCCGATCCAACGCATTCCGCCGGGCGAATGATCGAAGATGGCGGCTCTCCCCACTCAGCTGGGAGCAGCGGGGAGTTCACGCGCATGCGCTCATGCCTCTCGCTCTGCGCCGCGTGCTGATTGGCTCACTCGGGAGGAGCGCGATACGGCGGCGAGATCATAGACTGACCAAACTCTCCCCATATACGGCTCTGCCCCCCACCCCCCCCCTCCTCCATCGTAAGCTCCCTCGATATAAAAACATCGAAAGACTTCACCCTATCGTTTTGAATGGGGAAGGCTGCGCGATTAACGGTGCGATCCTGAAACCTGTGATTTTGACTTACAGGCGTCTATTAGAGCATGAAAATATTTAGCACAGGTGCAGCTTTTGTGCGCAAACATTTCCTTTCATTGAATTCACACAGAAAGAAATAGGTATATACAGTATTTTTTAACATTAGTTACAAAACAAATTCTGTGCATGCTTCTTATCGAAGTCCTACACATTTAACATCTTTTGGGAGGTCGGTTTTTCTTTTATGACCCACTTAGCCCGGTGCTCCTTCATTATGTTTGATGCAATCCTCGCCAGGAAAGGCCTCGTGAACTTCCTGAGGACGAGTGTAGCCAGGGCGGCTCTGTGATCTCGTGAGTCGTTGACCCCACAGGCAAATAGGGGGTTGCCCGCAATGGCCAGCCGAACCTTTTTAGTAAACGTCAGCACTGGCTTTCTCAGTGATAATAACTTCCTCTCGACAGAATTGACTTTGCTCTGAACCGTTCTCAGAAAGTTGACGAAACGGGGGCTGGGATAGTGCGGTACCCCACGGTCCAGGTTGTCTGATATTGCAACGGTTGCGCTGTTGTGTGGAGGGGACTAGAGCTGGTGGAAGCACCTGTCTCAGGCAATGCTGTCTTCAGCCATCCCCCCGAGAAAATCTCCGATGAGCGCCAGCGTGCCAGTTTGCCGTCCTGGAGCTGGAAAACCTACCAAAAAGTTGTTTTGCGTTTTTTGCTAGCTCACTTTTTATAAACGATAAAATGGTTCCTTATCTGGGAACGTCTGAAGTTCTTTTAAGAAGGGTTGCAAAACCTTCTTTATATTTCGCGATGAGGCAGCAGGCTGCAGTCCCATGGCTTTTGCAGCGGCGCACCGATATCGAACTCTGAGTCTTAAGTGCCCCTCCCGCGTGTAATGCCCGTAAGAACCCTCAAAGATAACAAATGATGATGATAATGATGACAAAAATTTTGTGCAGAGAGGAGAGGGCGCCTTTGGGCATCCGTTCGGTCGTTGGAGCCGCTCAGCTGCCTCACCGCAGAAAAGCGCGACTCTACATTGTCTTTAATGAACTTGGACGTTAAAACGTACTTGAATCCTTGGTCCAGCAGGTGACGTGTGTACAATAGAGTAGGCAACGTTATGACTGCCAAGGCTTCGTGAGTCTCGAACGTTAGAAATACGCTGACCGACAGTGTCGTTCTCTTCCAGTTTTTATAATACCCGAGGAATGCGTTCTCGAGCCAAAATATCGAGAGGTTCATCGGCTCTACCTCGGCTCCTCCGAGTCAACATTACTCTCATTCACCGGGGTCGCCGTCCGTAGCAGATAAAATTATTGTGTCGCCATGTATAACTGTCACAAATGCTCTCAAAAATAGTTACACGCAAAAAAAAAACGAATTTATACCTTTTTAGTTTGTGCGACAGTGGGGCGAGTGTCGCAGTGGGTTTTCTAGTCTGCTTTCAATTGTTCTTTTTGTCGATCGGATAAGTCTCAAACATGAAACACCGTTGAAACCGCTGCGGTTTTCAGCTTTTTTATATTCACAATCTATTTACAGTCATCTGCTGTAAAATACAGCGGGCATAGGACGGTGCCCCCGGTATCACTTGGGTGGCATTGGGAGCTCTTTTCACCTTTAAAAGAAAAGAAAAAAACAAAACAAAGAACAACATTGAAACATGTCCTGACTGCCTTTTGTTCTTCGAGTACAGCATGACGCGAATATTCTTACTGCTCCAAATGACTGAGATGAAAAAAAAAAAAAAAAAATCGGCACTTACCCGCTTTCGAAATTTTTTCGATCAATTCTTCGCGGACACTCAATAATGGAAATTCGTGAAACAAAAATTCTTTGCCCTTTTTGCCACGTGGGGTACACCTCAGCATACAACGGTGTACCATTTACCCGCTGTTCGAGTCGACACTTAAATTATCATATCGTAATGCCCCTAGCGGGGGTCGTGTGCTCTAAATATGTGACACGACTAATTTAAGCCATTTTCGCGTCGCTAGAGTGAAAAGGTTTAGCTCTCGGTGACTAAAAACGTTGCACTTGTGAAGTTTCGTCACGCCAATATTCAAGTGTAGAATAAACGAATGTGTGCACCAAACCAGTGCCGACTTGCAAGAAACAGCGTGTCAGCTGAGACGGGGAAAGAAAGCACTGCCAGAGCCAGCGCTCAAGCCGAGCGGGACTCTGCGTGCCAAGACGCTCGCGCGCCCCACCCTTTCCGCTGCTTTCATTCAGCCTGCCTCAGCTTAGACGCTGTTCTAGCCGACGTTACTGGAGCAAGCTCAGTTTCACAGCTCCGCCTGCGACGAGGGCTCAGTGGCGGTCACGAGAACTAGCAGCGCTGCAGTCGAGCCTTGCTTCCGGATGTCTAGCCCTCCAAGTTTGAATAGCAATACTTGAGCTTGGGCGAGTTCACGTGGGCGAGTTCTAGGGTTGAAGCTCCTTAGGGGTTAGCCATGTCCGTATGTCCGTCCTCCGTCGGGTGCACGTGCTCCTGCTCGTGAGCTCACCCGCTCACCTGCTCACGAACACATGAGCACGTGCTCCCATGCTCGTGTAGGGCAAAAGAAAAACAACCGCTTCTGCACGTGGTGAATGATGTTGACTGGGGCGAAGCTCTGGTGGTGCTTGTCTGCGTAGACGGTGAGCCGCGGCATGCCGAGCCTTTCGTTCGTTTTCATCCATGTCAGAAAGATAATGTGTGGTATGGAACGTGGTTATGTACGCCTTTGAGCATTTGACGCAGCGTGACATGGATGAAAACGAACGAAAGGCTCGCCATGCTGCCGCCCAGCGCCTACGCAGACAAGCATCACCAGAGCTTCGCCCCAGTCAACATCATTCACCACGTGGAGATGCGTTTTTTTTTTGGTTCATACTAACACTTCACAGCGCAAGGAAACAGACGCACACAAAAATAAATTTCAAACATTGAAAGAAAGAACACTCACAATGCGCTGACTCTGACCTCTGTTGTGTATTACACTTCATCTTCATCATCCTTTTTTTGTTATTACAGACATGAAAGTAAAAAAGAAAAAAGAAAAAAAAAAAGGAAGTTCTTAACAACGCGGTGGTAGTAGACGACGCGCGAGACAGGGAAGCCAGATCCGACTGCAGCGCCGCTAGTTCTCATGGCCGCCACCTGGGTAACTCGCCTCTGCAGGCGAGAATAGGGAGCTGCGAAACTGAGCTTGCTCCAGTAACGTTGGTTCTAGCAAGCCGGCCCAGAGCAAACTGTCACCGATACTTCAGCTGCACAACCTATGCACGAGTTCTCGGACAAACAAAAGCATTTCGCTGAGCTAGGCTCACGAGCTTGTGCCTTTGTCTTTACAGCAGACATTTGTGAGTTGAAGTAGAGAGGCCGATATTGAACGCTTATTTTTACGCTTTAAAGGTCGTTTGCAATATTGTGACGTCGCGGTCTCCTGATTGGTCGACGCTGTGTCGTACCTTTAGTTTATGCGCAAACCGCGGGGGGAGTTTTCGGCGCTGGCGGCGGCCTATGCTCCGCCCATTGTCCAAACTCTCCTAATATAGGGCTCTGAACAAAGTTACTGGAGCAAGCTCAGTTTCACAGCTCCGCCTGCGACGTAGGCTCAGTGGCGGTCATGAGAACCAGCAGCGCTGCAGTCGAGCCTTGCTTCCGGATGTCTAGCCCTCCAAGTTTGAATAGCAATACTTGAGCTTGGGCGAGTTCACGTGGGCGAGTTCTAGGGTTGAAGCTCCTTAGGGGTTAGCTAGTGCCACTAAATAAGCTACGCTTCAGAGTAACGACACTTGGCCATATTGTGGCTTAAAATCATGGTGGCCAGTTATCTGAAAGCTTTATCTGAAATCACAGGAAACGCTTTTCCGTCCTCCACAAATGTTTAAACAGACCGCGACAGAGAAAAGCAATATTACATCAGCTTCCTAACACCGAATCCAATGCTGAGGAAGTCGCACTTTTGAATC